ACTACTATTACTGTGGTGTGTGCTACTTATATTGATATCAGTAGTATATGACGCGAGTTAAAAACGTAATGTCTGGCAGCAAAAGATCGGAGAAGATCAAGAAAGGAAGTAAGGGAACACAATGCAATTTGTAAGAAAACTCATGAAGCAATGAAATGTGAGACAATGGATTGATGTTTGCAACAGGAACAGTCCAGGTTGATATGATTCATAGATATTTTGCAAATTAACGGTTTGCTATATGATTTTTCTATTTGATTATGTTCATTCGTGTTCTATTGACTGCACTATGGATATGATTACTATTACCACCTACCAATTCTTCCAAATTACGTTATATTGCCCAAATGTCATTCATTGTAAACACTGGAGGTTTGCTCGTAACGGAAATATATTTCAATGGGGTCATTTGAGATAAATTTATAAAACAAACAATAAAAACTTTACGTTGTCTAAATGATATTACAAATATACTTTTACTGTTGTGTAAGTGATCAAGCAGTTTCCATTACAAACTATCTATAATACATGCAACAATAATACTATTTTAATCAGAAATTATTATACACTAGTAGAGTACGAAACAAATGAAAGGTGTGTGTGTGTGTGATTATATTTGATTTAATGTATGTTTTTTATTGATGTGTGGTTATAACTATTATTTATTGATTTATGGGAGACACTTAGCTTTATTGGTTTTTGGTTCCATTTGTTGAAGAATTTATAAATTATCCTCTTTAACGTGAATTTCTCTTTCAATGTTCATAGCTAACATTTGATTTCATTTTAAATTTCATAACACTATTGTTGAGTCGGCTTTCGGGGAACTACAACGGAGCCTCCAGAGGCTCAAAAAAAGCCGAAGAGTCCTGGCCATTCAGAGCATGATGGAGCATTCTAGAATGTCAACATGGCGTGCCACTATTGGTCAGTAGCATAATAAGTCTTTTAGCTGACTGGCTAAAATATGATGTCGATTTACAAATGTTAATATCTATAAATACCCATATTTTCTGTACAAAAACGAACCTTGGAGTAAAGTGTTTCTCTCTTACTTTGCGTCTTCTTTCTGGTGTTCAGGTCGCTGTATAGTTCTACCGTGTGGGTTATCAGAATAGCTTAGGAACGAATATAGCGTCCAATCAGTAAGACTTATCAACTATGATAAATAAATACGTTTTACTTTCAGTCTAATTTGAATCTTCACAGTAGTGTAAACATTCAAAACAATTTGGAATCGAACAAAATATCTTTGATTTTGGTAATTATAGAAAAACTGTGCTAGTGTTATTTACTTATAGAAGCCTTGGATAAAACATCCCTGTTCACAGTTGGAGTGAAGAAAGTCAACTTAATATGCATCGTTAATGAATATCCATTAACAGTGATATTTCTATGCTGAATAGCAGATCATCTCATAACGTAGTTATTAACTGACCAGATAACTTCAAAGTTATTAAAAGGAAATACACCTGACAATAGACTTTAAAAAAAGCCTTCACCTTTATATTCACAAACATTATTTTGATAACTTCCATTACCTTGAAATAAAATAATAGACACATTGTGGTGCGTGCTACTTATATTGATATAAGGAGTATAAAACGCAAGTCAGGAATGTAATGTCTGGCAGCAGAAGATGGGGGAAGATCAAGAAGCCAAGAGCGGGAATAGAATGCAATTTTTCTGCAAATGCAAGGACAATGAAGTCTGAGGCATTTTGAAACAATTGGTGGACATTTTGAAAATTAACGATTTGATATATGGATCTCAGACTTTATTGAGATGTTCTGTAATTTTGTGCTAAATACATTCGATTATCCTCACCCGTGTTTTGTTCACTACAACATTATTGTCATCATACTTGGGATAAGTGTATGTAAATTTTGAGATCTTTGTTACACGTGAATCAGTCAGACTGGGAATATTTTCCTAATTTCTGGACAGATTAATAATTTCACTCTTTTCTGTTGTTCTGTTATCTTTCTGGGAATTGTTACAATGATATAAGATAAGAGCACGGGATTACAATCTCAGTTGTCATTTTAACTCACGCTAATGTCTAATTATGAATTTATTTATTTCTTTTAACACACAAATATTGGTACATGGAGGCACCAAATACATATACGCCACACAAATATCATTCGATTTGTGTAAGGGCTGTGATACTGCACGGGTGCTCAAACCGAAGCAGGTGGTTTTCTTAGGGGCCACACCCAGAGCCTTCGACCTACAGGTCTGATCCACAAGGCAGAGGAGCACCGTAAGGAGATGCAGTCCGATGGTAGTCAGTGACCAACAACTGGTTCATACGCCATTTGTTCCCGCAGGAAATTGGAGCCCATGTGCACCATTGATTTGGAATCCGGTTAAAGTGCTGGACATTCGCTTTGCGTCCTCTAATTTTCGTAAACAACACCCGTGGTTTAAGAAGTCAGTGAGTAGGACTTCCCTGGCAGAGGCTGTATACGCGTAGCCGTGTGAGAGTATTTCGAGATGGAGGGCGGGCCCACCTCACTCTCGGCCATACCATGGCATTCGGGGGCATGAACTCATATGTGTTTGTGAGTATATTTCATATATATATATAATAACACTTCATGTCGTTAGCTCATTTTTTACCGGTAGTACTCCAAAATGTATACACAACTTTGTCATTTAATTTGATTTTTCTTTACTGAAAGAAATTTACTTACGATGGCTTAACTTTTAAGTTTACATCCAATTTGTGTTATTGAGTTTGAATATGATTCGACAATTGGTTTAAGAAAATGACATTAAATTACCTTAATATAAGTTGACCAACTTAAATCAATTACATAATATCCATATCTTCTCCATAATATAGATATGTAGGTCAGAATAAGGAAAAGTAGGTAATTGTTTTAAAGAAAGATATTTGATTCCTTACACTTTGATTGAAAGCAGATAAAATTACAGAGTTTGTACAATAGTGTATCCAGGGGGAAATTCTAGCTAAAACAATGTGCATAAGAGTAATCGCCGTGTAATTCTATTCCATTCAAAATGTATCTCATTAAGAATCAAGCAGTATTTGCGACTAAACTACATAAATATGACAATAGTCATCATTTAATTATCAATCAATTACAAATATCTAAGTCCTAAAGCGGGTTAGTCGCGATCTGAATACCTCAAGTTATGAAACACAATGACATGAGTTCAGATCCACTAAAGGCCATCCGTCCACTCGAAAATACTAGTACACCTCGTTGTGGATGAATGCCAACCAGTGAAACACTGTAAACCAAGGTTTTCTTTCGTCTGCTTCAACTTTTCTGACTAAACGTGTTGCATAAACTTTAATAACCCAGTATAAAACATTAGATTCCGTTTCTTTTTGCTTTTGAAATAACATGATCGTTAACAGACCTATAGATTTTTAGTTGACTCCCTGTAAAATTTGTCCGTGTGTACTACTCTGAATTCCAATACGAGAATCAAATAACTATTCAGAGCTCACTATTCATCAGTCATTCATTAGTTTTAAAAGTATTTCAAAGTATAGTGTAAATGATTTTCGATGGTCGTTGTAATCCTTATGTAAGCAAAATATCTAACTATATCAAACTAGAAAATTTCGACTCAGATCTTAATTGAATACTTCATGAAAATAATTACTTACGTACTTACTTACTTACGCCTGTTACTCACAATGGAGCATAGGATGCCAACCAGCATTCTCCAACCCACTCTGTCCTCCGCCTTCTTTCCTAATTCCATCCAATTCTTGTTCATTTTAATCATGTCTATCTCCATTTCCCGGAGTAATGTGTTCTTTGCTCTTCCTCTTCACCCCCAATCGCCTTGAGGATTCCATGTGAGGGCTTGTCTTCTGACACAGTTGGGTGCTTTCCTCAATGTGTGTCCTATCCACTTCCAGCGATTCTTTCTCATTTCTTCCTCCGCTGGGATGTGGTTTGTTCTTTCCCAAAGTTGGTTGTTGCTAATAGTGTCTGGTCAACGGATGCGAAGTATTTTGCATAGACGACAGTTAATAAACACTTATATCTTCTGGATGATGGCTTTCGTAGTTTTCCCATACAGTAGAATTGTCTTGACATTTATATTAAAATCATGACCTTGGTGTTGGTTGATAGTTGCTTTGAGTTCCAGATGTTTTTCAATTGTAAATATGCTGCTCTTGCTTTACCGATCCGCGCCTTCACATCTGCATCAGATCCACCCTGTTCATCAATGATGCTGCCCAAATATGTAAAGGTTTTTACATCTTCCAAATCTTCTCCGTCAATTGTGGTTGGATTGGTGCATTCTGTGTTGTATCGGAGAATCCTGCTTTTCCCTTTGTGTATATTGAGACCTACTGTTGCTGAGGCTGCTGCTACACTGGCATGAAAACATTATCTTAGACTAATTAGTTCTATTCGATTAATAGAAGTATCCATGATATACAGTTTCTAATGTATAAACAATCATTGTTTCATATAAGTTAACCTTAAACTTTACACTAGTAGTTTTCATAAAATACAAAACGCGTTTTTTGTGTATTTCACTAAGAAAACTTTCCTGTCTTATCTAAACAGATTTAAGATTCATTCAATAAAGTGAATTGCTAATCTATGTACTTTCATTATTCTGTCAGATTGTTGCTGTAAATGAATAAATTACTACTTTATATATGTAATATGTATTGTATAAGATGATTGTGATTAGAATAAAAGTCGTACAAAGTCAACTAGTAAATGACGGTTGATTTGTCTAGTTGATTCCCGGGTTTATGCTAGAAAAAATGTTGTTTTTGTTTTCTCTCTCTCTCTCTCCCTTTCTTGCTGATTGTTGTTGATTGTAGACTAACTCATTTAAATAATTAATGATATTCTGATTAGATATACAACTCAAAAGTTGTTGTTGATCACAGTTATCATTATTCATTTTCGAGTCAATTACATTATCCAATCAGAGTGTTCACATTGTTGCACACAAACGATTGTGGACTCTAAATAATATCGCTGATCAAAATATATGTGTACATGTTTATGTGTGTGTGTGCGTGTATGCCTAAGTCTGCAAGTCTGCACATATCATAAGCACATTCTGAGTACACACATAGTGCTGGAAATTAGTAGTATATATAAACATTAATTCTGTTATTATGATTAATATTTTTGTTATCCTAGTAACAGTGCCCGGCGATTATCAGCATTGAATATACTGATAGTTTACATTTTCCTCATAGAGAAATCTATACTCATTAAATACCAAAATTTACGTATCTTTTAATCATCGAAATTGTATCCCAACATGACATCCACTGAGACTAAATCCATTTCACCAACGAATTCTTTAAATCTTGGACAAAATTTTAAATATCAAGTATTTAGTGATAACACTGAAGGTATTTCCATTGTCAATACACCTCAAACAACCATGGATAAAAAGCATTATCTATGGGAACGTGTAAATAATATGAAAACATCATTAGTTGATTCAGTACAACGTAAAATACCCGTACATCATAGTAATCAACTAAATGATATATTTAAACGTTTTCAATATTTCTTTTCAATTATTGGACCAATCTTATTACTTATTATGTTCATATTAGTATTAGTTTATTGGAAACGTGAACAGAATGAATTATGGAAAAGTCGAAATCAATGCTACACAAAAGAATGTTTAATATCTTCCAGTTCAATTGTTGCACATATGAATAAAACCATATCACCATGTGAAAATTTTTTTAAATTTGCATGCGGTTCTTATTATTCTCCATTTCATCCAGATCAAAATGCTGAACAACCAGCTATACAAGCTCATCGTGTTGTTGCAAGCGCTTTTGGTAAAGATACTATACAAGATTATTTTAAAAGTGGTCGAAGTCGACGAATGTTAAGATTTGACAGACCTATGATTGAACATTTAACTGAAATTAATGTACATGCAATTATTAACTCATTACGTAATATTTATAGTAATTCATATGGACAATATAATTCGGCCAAATATAAGGTTGCCCAATTTTATGATTCATGTTCTTCTACTTCATTAAGAAATTGGCTTGGTGCACATCCATTAATGAGAAAAGTGGCACCACTTCTAAATGGTATATGGCTACTAGATAGAAATGCATCAAATGAAACCGGTGCTAATATAGTTAATCAAACATCAGCATGGCCAAAACGTTTATTTTCGGATTCATATTTAACCCAACAATTTTATATGGCAAAAAATTGGTCATGGATGGATTCAATTAAACATTTACAAGTTCAACTTAATGTGCCGACATTTGCTGATTTTTACATATACACAAGTCCAATTAATAAACCACGATTATATGTAAGTTTAAAGAGTACAGTTTTATCATTGAAAATATGATATAAATATATCAGAATCGGTTTTGTGGAGATTTTTAGAAATTTCACAGATTGAAATCATGAGTCAGTTGAAGCTAGACCACCAAGGAAAACCTGGAAGCACTGGACAGCCGTTTCGTCTTAGTATGGGACTCATAATAATAATAATAATAATGACTCCTCAGCAGTGCGCATCCATGATCACGCACCCCGCGAGATTCGAACCCAGGACCTAATGGTTTCGCGCGCGAGCACTTCACCACTAGACCATTGAGCCAGCGTCCAATGGCGCTAATATCTAACTTCAACCAATCCACGGGTTGCGAGATCGTGGATGCGCACTGCTGAGGAGTCCCATACTAAGACGAAACGGCCGTCCAGTGCATCCAGGTTTTCCATGATGCTCTAGCTTCAATTGACTCATGATTTCAATCAGTGATATAAATGTATAATTTTAAATAGCGTACCTGTTATGTTGACTCTATCAAATCAACAGCTGGCATATTTTAAAGAATGTTTATTAGAAAAAAACGCTTGATTTCCAGAGCATTTATTGATTCCCTCGTTTCAATCATCTTACCCTAAAGATCTTATTAATTGACATTAGTATCTTATGGAATTGAAAACTGATAGAATCACATATTTCTTTTATTATTGATAATTCTGTCATCCGCTAGCTTCATTGTATAAGTCTGTATTCCAGGTTTTTTACTGACTTTATTTGTATAGAAGAAATTTCCTCTCAAATGACTATAGAATTAGATTCCGTGTTTGTTTGGCATTAAATTACACCTACTTTTGTGATGTATCACATTTTGTCTGTTTAATCCTTATTTGCTTCTAAACACTTGATAAACGTTTTTTAGAAGTAACCGTAGTGGATTTGTTTTACCGGAATCATAAATATTGTGTTGTAGACAAAAATTGATAAACTGATTAGTATTAGTGAACTAACTAATCATCATCTAACCTAATTACAAGCAAACGAAATATGCCCTCGGGAAATAAGAATCGAAAATCTTTACAATAATTAATCTGAAATAAGAAATTGGCGATAAAACATTAGTGGGGAAGGGGGTGACATTAAACTAGAGACATTGAAATAACTTTTTTTTATAACTGTCAAGACATGTTATATTTTATGGTAACATTTCACTCATATGAATCGATCATATGGTATTGCATAGTATGATAACGACTGTTCATATAAATCCACATTAATGAGAGATCAGATCATGATGCAGTTCACAATGAGTAAAATCTCAGAGAAAATTGTTTTCAGTTTCATAGCCAATCTTAGATTAAATTATAAATATGATAATGAAATAGACAATCAAAATGAGTAGAGGATCACTGAAGAGTAGGGTTGGCGAGGTCATGGATGTGCACTGCTGAGGAGTCCTACAATAGGACGAAACGGCCATTCAGTGCTTCCAGGTTTTACATGGTGGTCTAACTTCAATTGACACATGATCTTAACCATTGAAATAAATTTTATTGTTAAGTTGACATATGCATAAAATTTAAATAAATAAATAAATCCTAAATCACCTGTTAAAATGAAATATGAATGTGTAACGGCATCAAAATAGATGAAAATACATTCAGTTACATTAGAAATTACATTAGGTTAGAGGATATTTGTAGAAATTTTAGAAAAATACTCTTCGACTAATATGTTAATGTGTAATTGAGTTAAAACTGATATCAATAATTTCGGTAGTTCGTTCTGAGTAGATGATGATTATCCACTCAAAGGTAATCAGAAGAGTGGCATATATAGAGTTGAATTCACAAGTTGATCTAAGCTAGATCATCATTGAAAACCAGAAAGCAATGGATGATTGTTTTGTTCTAACATGGACTGATCAACTCCGTGTGAAGTTAATGAGTTCTACTGACTAACTCAATTGTTTCTTATCTTTGATAAAATCTTACTGATTTGTTCTAGATGTTCACAAATTTGTCAAAAATGATACATAAAAAAGTTATAGGCTACTGGAATTATTAATTATGGAAATTTAGTTTTGATCCATTAGTAAATTATCTACACTTATTCGAATCTACCTTATATGCAATGCTTATATACAGTCTGTTATCTCGGCGAATCTTTCGTCCTAGTATGGTAATTCCCATCAATGCTGATATTCAATGTCTTATACTTCGAATTTAAGTCATGATTTCTCATCAGAAACTTGGAATTTCTTCTTGAAGTTCTTTACACATTCATTGTTCAACATCACTTTAATTTTGTGAATAAACTTTAAATCAGTGTTTACTTCTTGTGAATTGAATTGATCACAAAAACGATATTCATTAACTATTTTTTTCTTACTTAGTTACTTCCTTACACCTGTTACTCCTCGTGGAGGAGCATAGGCAGCTCACCAGCATTCTCCATACAACCCTCTCCTGGGCAGTTCTTTCCAGCTCCTTCCAGTTGTTATTCATTCTTCTCATATCTGCTTCTTTTATCCGACGTAATGTGTTCTTTGGCCTTCCTCTTTTCCGCTTCCCTTCAAGATTCCAAGTTAGGGCTTGCCTCGTGGTGTAGTTTGACGATTTGCGTAGTGTATGTCCTATCCATTTCCATCGTCTTTTGCTAATTTCTTCTTCAGCTGGAAGCTGGTTTGTTCTCTCCCACAGAAGGCTGTTTCTGATGGTATCCGGCCAATGGATGTTGAGTATCTTGCGTGGACAACTATTTATAAATACTTGTACCTTCTTGATGTACAGTAGAACTGCCTTGATGTTGGTAATTGGAAACAACATACTAATATAAATAATTCACTCACACCATGAGAACTACTGAACTGATCAACTAAACACATGTTGCTGATGATATATTTGACAAAAAATTACTTTAAGAAAAGATAACTAAAATACAATAATTCACATGTGAACATCCTATACAGATAATAATCATGATACATTTATGGTGAATTTACCGTATTCATTTAACTAAAAGTACATTATACGATCGTCTAACAAAGAGTGTGTGATTTTAATTAGTCAAATTCAGAAAATTCTTTCTGATATGCTTACTTACTTACTTACTTACTTACTTACTTACTTACTTACTTACTTACTTACTTACTTACTTACTTACTTACTTGCACTTGTTACTCCCAATGGAGCATAAACCGCCGACCAGCATTCTCCAGTATTCTAAGTAGCAATACCAAGGTCCGACTTGATACTTTCAAATAAATTGAGACTTAGTTAGAAAGTTAATAATAGTCATTGGGATACCACAAACATATATATTAGTAATATTATAAGTTGGTTGATGTAGTAATATCAAGAGTTGAACAACATATCCTATTCAAATAGCTACACTGTATCCAAATCTCTGTAAGCAGTTTCATTAAGGAATCGTATATTTTTTTAATAAGCTTAGTCTTGTTATTTGATGTTCAAATGAATGATAACTACAAAATATGAATGTATTAACTAATTAAATAAATTATCATCATATACTTTACAAATCCTATGATCATATTCATTGAAATACCTCTGAGGCTTATATCAATTATATGTGAAATGAAAACGTTTCAATGGGTAAAACCTGCATAAAGACATATGTAGCAAAATCTAATATAATGCCGATGAATATACCATTTGATGTACACTATGATTTATCTTATTCACATTTTAGTTTCATTATTTGAATGAGAAGTTCCTTTTAATTGTGTACTGTGCGGATGAATATAACTTTCAGCTACCTACATTTTAATTTTAGTCACTAATGACAAAAATCACAGACGAATAGGAATGTTTAAATCTAAGTTGATTTTAACGTATCATTACCCTGTCTGGCAGAGTAACGAACATTAAGCCTTGAGTATTTCGAAAAGTACCTTCAGTTCATTAATTAAATTTCAAAGTGCATCTGTACACAAATCAAAACAAAAAATCTTTATCAGAAGGTGTTTGTGGAGATTTTAGAAATTTCACAGATTGAAATCATGAGTCAATTGAAGCTACACAACCATAGAAAACCTGAAAGCACTGGACAGCCGTTTCGTCCTATTGTGGGACTCCTCAGCAGTGCGCATCCACGATCCCTCACACCGCGACATTCGAACCCAGGACATATCAGTCTTGCGTCAAGCGCTTAACCAACTAGACCACTGGGTTGGCCGGCATCCAACGGTGTTAATGTCTAACTTCAACCAATCCACGAAGTTGCGCCACCGTACACCATTTTCTTCAGTGAGCTGATATCTCACAACAGACCTGGTTGAACTCCAGTGGTAACGGATGCTCACTAGAACTGCAGGAGTATCTCTTGAAGTCAGTCACTAGTGAGCAGGTGATTATTATTATCAGAATGGGTTTGCGGAGATTTTAGAAATTTCACAGATTGTAAAACTTTTCACAGTAATTATTAATTTTCTATTTTTGATCACCAACGTTTATGGTTAATCATGCTCCTATAGCCTTTTTATAGCATAATGTGTTATAAATTAGGGACTATGAAAAAATTTACATCAAAATACAGATATCGGGATCATAATCGTGTAAGATGAATGCCCCGGTAATTTACATAAATATTAATAATTTTTTATGATCTCAACGGAGATGAAGAACCTATTTATCAGTATCCATATTTATTCAGTGGTCAATAGGAAAGCTTGGCATCGGTGCCTTTCAGAGTGAAACTAAGTGATATGGGTTCGAATCCGTGAACAACTATACACTGGAGTAAAGAACGTCAGACCGGTGCTTACAATGATGAACTGTTGGCTCAAGAAGTTGGCACTGAATGAAATTCTATGTCTAAAAATCCTATCTTAAGCCAATTATTAATGTAGTGTTTGATTACAAATCTCCAATCAGCACTGTGTTGTTTTCTATGTAGCCGTTAGTTAAAAAACACAACTTAACTGGATAACGTGTTGCCATATTCACATAAACTAGTGTAAAGGTGGCTTCAATGTCAGATTTATATATTTAAATGTAAATGTTCAGGATGCAAAA